CAAAATCACTAGACCATGAGGACACTGAGGATAGTGAGTCAGTAGAGGAAGCTCCATTGATCATTCCAGCAGTTCCTGATGAACACACTTTCATCAGTGGGAGTACTGTGGAAGAGGATACATCTACTTCACAGACAACCGGTGACGACCAGGTGTCTACTGAGGCAGATGGTAATGCTTCTGGTGGTGACGACCACGTGCAGGTCGACATGGATGTAGACCGCACAGAAGTAGAAGCTGAAGAAATTGATACAGAGCAAGAAGACTCATCTGGAGGGGAATCACCTCCTGAAGTTGTCCAAAGACCAATACCACTCCCACGACGCTCTGGACGCGAAACTAGGAAGCCTGCCTGGCAGACGTCAGGAAAATTTGTGATGCGCCAGACTACTGATCCAGATTGGCAGCAGAAGAGTCGACGCATAGAACAGCTAGTAGCTACCGGCGTCATTGGTCACATCAGCAGTGGTATATCCAAAGCACTACTTTCTCTCGTTGATGAACAACCAGAATGACGCGGACATCATTTTCATAGGAGGGAAGTATGTGGCAGTTACATATTTTGACTATTTCTTGTATTTTACCTTTTAAGTATAATTCATGTACATAATTAAATGCAGTTGTAGTCATTTTATTTTATTGCTCAGCCTACTTTAAACACTAAACCATCAGTCACATCACTCTTACTAAGCATGCTTACTGCATGGTTTGTTTGTGAATGTCACACCCTGTGAACTAATACAATAGCCCCAGCCTTCTCCCTACTCAAGCCTTTTGTCTATATGGCCAGCTTGGGTACTCAGCCATGCTGTATGCTGGACACCTGAGGACTGTGGTCACTCCACATATACCTCTCCACGGATAAAGATAAATATACATATATATTCACGTGTTTTTTCACAAGGATCGTTATTGGGGAACCTTAGATCAAATTCCAAGGTTAGTATTGTATTATTGAATTGAGGATTTTATTCATTGAATTGTATTTGCAATATTGTAGATATTGTTTGTATTTGGATATGTGTGTGTTTAGACACGAATACATGGAATGTAGATTTCGTAATTTTATTGAGTTTAACAACCAAATAAGTATTATACATTCATTAAAACATGTATAAGCATTAAACTAAAAAGTAAGATTAGTAGTTTGTAGAAATGATAGAGGTTACTTGTGATATAAGAGGTAAGGCTAAGCAAGCAGGCATGGTATGAATATATGAATGAATGAAAGTAAGCATAAATGAATGAATGAAAGTAAGCATATATGAATGAATGATAGTAAGCATATATGAATGAATGAAAGTAAGCATAAATGAATGAATGAAGGTAAACATAACTGAATGAATGCACGAGGCATTTTATAATATTACTCTTTCATGTTCAGCTACATGTATATATGATAGAAAGTATTTGTTCTTATTGGCACGTCTGCATGTACTGTATATATTATTATTTCCTCTGCAGACGAGTTTTGCACTACTGTGCAGAAACTTAGCGCGGCATCGTCCCCAGGTGTGATATCAACCCAGGCCCACACACCTGGTAGGTTTACATGTCGTTTACATGTTGTCGTTTACATGTTGTCGTTATCGTTACATCGTTACATGTCATTATCTAGTGTATGTATTTGATCATATATCAAGACAGAATACGTTTCTAATTAACATGTACATAAATATATTTTACCCAGTGCATTTACAACAATACTATGTACTGTATCTCACCAAACTAGTATGCATATGAACTGTATGTATATATCTGTGTTTATGATATGTGTATTGTTTTATACGTGCTATATTGTATACCTGATTGTTTCAGGGTGGTTTTTCTTTAAAATCACATTAGCATTTCTGCAAATAAAAATTGGCCATTGACGAACACCGTAGTGTCTGTGGTCTGTGGGCATCGGACCGAGTCCTGCTACATGTTGTATCCATCACTTGTACATATCCCGTTCTAAAGCGTCATGACAGATGTGTTGTATCCATCACTTGTACATATCCCGTTCTAAAGCGTCATGACAGATGTTTTGTATCCATCACTTGTACATATCCCGTTCTGAAGCGTCATGACAGATGTTTAGTATCCATTACTTGTACATATCCCATTCTAAAGCGTCATGACAGATGTGTTGTATCCATCACTTGTACATATCCCGTTCTAGAGCGTCATGACAGATGTGTTGTATCCATCACTTGTACATATCCCGTTCTAAAGCGTCATGACAGATGTGTTGTATCCATCACTTGTACATATCCCATTCTAGAGCGTCATGACAGATCTGTTGTATCCATCACTTGTACAGTCTCGAAATCTGCAAAGTTGTGGTGAGCCCACTCATGGGGACAGATGTGTCGTTGCCATCACTTGTACAGTCTCGAAATCTGCAAAGCTGTGGTGAGCCCACTCATGGGGACAGATGTGTTGTAGCCATCACTTGTACGGTCTCGAAATCTGCAAAGCTGTGGTGAGCCCACTCATGGGGACAGATGTGTTGTAGCCATCACTTGTACAGTCTCGAAATCTGCAAAGGTGCGGTGAGCCCACTCATGGGGACAGATGTGTTGTAGCCATCACTTGTACAGTCTCGAAATCTGCAAAGCTGCGGTCAGCCCACTCATGGGGACAGATGTGTTGTAGCCATCACTTGTACAGTCTCGAAATCTGCAAAGCTGCGGTCAGCCCACTCATGGGGACAGATGTGTTGTAGCCATCACTTGTACAGTCTCGAAATCTGCAAAGCTGTGGTGAGCCCACTCATGGGGACAGATGTGTTGTAGCCATCACTTGTACAGTCTCGAAATCTGCAAAGCTGCGGTGAGCCCACTCATGGGGACAGATGTGTTGTAGCCATCCCTGTACAGTCTCGAAATCTGCAAAGCTGCGGTGAGCCCACTCATGGGGACAGATGTGTTGTATCCATCACTTGTACAGTCTCGAAATCTGCAAAGCTGTGGTGAGCCCACTCATGGGGACAGATGTGTTGTAGCCATCACTTGTACGGTCTCGAAATCTGCAAAGGGGCGGTGTTGTATCCATCACTTGTACATATCCCATTCTAGAGCGTCATGACAGATGTGTTGTATCCATCACTTGTACATATCCCATTCTAGAGCGTCATGACAGATGTGTTGTATCCATCACTTGTACATATCCCATTCTAGAGCGTCATGACAGATGTGTTGTATCCATCACTTGTACAGTCTCGAAAACTGCAAAGCTGTGGTGAGCCCACTCATGGGGACAGATGTGTTGTAGCCATCACTTGTACAGTCTCGAAATCTGCAAAGGTGCGGTGAGCCCACTCATGGGGACAGATGTGTTGTATCCATCACTTGTACATATCCCATTCTAGAGCGTCATGACAGATGTGTTGTAGCCATCACTTGTACAGTCTCGAAATCTGCAAAGCTGCGGTCAGCCCACTCATGGGGACAGATGTGTTGTATCCATCACTTGTACATATCCCATTCTAGGGCGTCATGACAGATGTGTTGTATCAATCACTTGAACATATCCCATTCTAGAGCGTCATGACAGATGTGTTGTATCCATCACTTGTACATATCCCATTCTAGAGCGTCATGACAGATGTGTTGTATCCATCACTTGTACATATCCCATTCTAGAGCGTCATGACAGATCTGTTGTATCCATCACTTGTACAGTCTCGAAAACTGCAAAGCTGTGGTGAGCCCACTCATGGGGACAGATGTGTTGTATCCATCACTTGTACAGTCTCGAAAACTGCAAAGCTGTGGTGAGCCCACTCATGGGGACAGATGTGTTGTATCCATCACTTGTACAGTCTCGAAAACTGCAAAGCTGTGGTGAGCCCACTCATGGGGACAGATGTGTTGTAGCCATCACTTGTACAGTCTCGAAATCTGCAAAGCTGTGGTGAGCCCACTCATGGGGACAGATGTGTTGTAGCCATCACTTGTACAGTCTCGAAATCTGCAAAGCTGTGGTGAGCCCACTCATGGGGACAGATGTGTTGTAGCCATCACTTGTACAGTCTCGAAATCTGCAAAGGTGCGGTGAGCCCACTCATGGGGACAGATGTGTTGTAGCCATCACTTGTACAGTCTCGAAATCTGCAAAGCTGCGGTCAGCCCACTCATGGGGACAGATGTGTTGTATCCATCACTTGTACGGTCAGGAAATCTGCAAAGGTGCGGTGAGCCCACTCATGGGGACAGATTTGTTGTAGCCATCACTTGTACAGTCTCGAAATCTGCAAAGCTGCGGTCAGCCCACTCATGGGGACAGATGTGTTGTATCCATTACTTGTACATATCCCATTCTAGAGCGTCATGACAGATGTGTTGTATACATCACTTGAACATATCCCATTCTAGAGCGTCATGACAGATGTGTTGTATCCATCACTTGTACATATCCCGTTCTAAAGCGTCATGACAGATGTGTTGTATCCATCACTTGTACATATCCCATTCTAGAGCGTCATGACAGATCTGTTGTATCCATCACTTGTACAGTCTCGAAATCTGCAAAGCTGCGGTGAGCCCACTCTTGGGGACAGATGTGTTGTAGCCATCACTTGTACAGTCTCGAAATCTGCAAAGCTGTGGTGAGCCCACTCATGGGGACAGATGTGTTGTAGCCATCACTTGTACAGTCTCGAAATCTGCAAAGCTGTGGTGAGCCCACTCATGGGGACAGATGTGTTGTAGCCATCACTTGTACAGTCTCGAAATCTGCAAAGCTGCGGTCAGCCCACTCATGGGGACAGATGTGTTGTAGCCATCACTTGTACAGTCTCGAAATCTGCAAAGCTGCGGTCAGCCCACTCATGGGGACAGATGCACCAAGGGGAGTCTTGTTTATGAATATGTTAATAGTCACAAAGCCGAGAGGTTAACAATTCTAATATGATGTTAATAGTCACAAAGCCGAGAGGTTAACCATTCTAATATGATGTTACTGTTGTAGTCGGCGATAATATGACGATGTACACTGGTGTAAGGTGTAACCTGTTATGAGTCCCTCAACACTAAGGCTATAGCCAATGCAGATGGATGGATTACCTTGTCTCTTGCACAGATCCGGGGCACTTTGCCGCCTTCTTCTTCGACGAGGATTATACGCGCCAGCTTCATGTACCTGTCGTGGTCGAAGTTATTTTTTATGCCCATCATGTGACAGTCGCGAGCAAAGTAGTCCCACTTGTCTACGTCAATTCCCGTTTGGGCGTTGTTGACAATCTGGTGATAAAACATTATGTATTATACACTAATGTATATATCTTAGAGAGATTTGACAAGATGGTAATAATGTCGGAAAATGTGCTTATGTCCTGGTAACTTCATATTTTAGTATTTACATTGTATTTATTTAATTATCAACAAACCAATTCTGCTCATATTTCCCTAAATATTGACGGTTGTATGAAATACTTGCTTCATAAAGAAAAGGCCTTGTTTTCCTGTTTTCGAGCACACGTTCATCTTTCACATGCATGATCCTGTAACATATAGCATTGTAAAAGATGCTCACAAGTGACAAACACATGGTCCACTTTTATACATCAGTATATTTAGGGTGAGGTGAGATTTGACGTCGGGATCGGTGATATTGCTCACACATGGTGACATACTGTGCGTGTTTGTGTGGGATGCTTATAGTCCAGACTAATGCCGATTATATTGACCTTTTTCACACTTCGCTACTTCCGGTTTGAAAGCGAGGCTTGGAGAGCAGAAGGTGAAGGCTGGATAGCACATGAAACACATGGAGATGTCAACAAGGCACGCAATTCGAACAAACTGCGACAATTTAACCACCCCGGTACATTACATTTATCGTAAGTATTGAACATTATTCTTATTGACAAACTATTCTACTGTTATCTGGTCTCCTTATCGATATAAATTTGAGTCTGGCCGTTCTGTTGTGATTTCAATTTAAAATATCCATGACCACCTGGTAACTCCCAGTGCAGTTTATGGTAGCTCAGTAGACTTAATACAAATGCTACTGAAATCTTGTAAAGAATAATATTATTCATTGTTATCACACCATTAAGCCAAACTATTTATTGTGAGTTTAAATAACTTTGCGGGTTGTATTTGAAGTCGAAATATTGATCTTTTGACCATATCTAGATATATGTCAGAAACTAACTAAATTGATATGTTGATATAATGTATCACAGTGTTCCCACTGGCTTTTGAAACTGCAAGTCCTTGTGGACTGGCAACTCTAAAAATTACCAGTCCCCTCTAATTTTTGCCAGTCCCAACTTTCAACAATTAAAAAACATATGAAAATTATTTGGTTTTAATTCTTTCAACTTCATGTTCAGTGCAAATTATAATCTTTGAAGTAACTTATTTAGCTCTATACATCATTCACACAGTCACAATTATTCTCTTTATTTTTTAATATTTTCAAACAAAGTTGATACAACTGGATATTTAACCTAGAAATGACAAGGGGAAACCCTGATGGTAACAGACAAGCAGACATTGTTCGAAATATGAACTTATATCTGAATATATGAATATCACCGATTTTTTGTTCAACAACAAAGATAAGTACTATATTTGCCAGTCCACAGGGACTGGCAGTCAGATGAATTACCGGTCCAAGCCTAATTTTACCGGTAAAATAACTGGTAATTACCGGTAAACGGGAACACTGTATCAAATTGTAACCTACTGAGAATTTACAATCGTAACAAATCAGAAGTTTGCATCTGTTGCGTATTTGATGTAAATTGTAATGGACTCAAATGCATTCCAATAAAATATTAGACCTCTAGATCTACTTGTGCTGTTGTGATTGTGAACAGTTGATATTTTGATTGTCAATGTTGACAGATTAGATAGCATGAGGCGTAATATTTCAACTGAATTATTACATAAAGGGTGTGTAAATATTTAAAGTAGAGTACAGTTTGATCTGCAATTTTGGTAACAATTAATATTTCTACCAAAATGATATTTACTTTACTGTACCAATTTAATCATGTCATGAAATGAACAAAAACCCAACTAATTAATGTCCAGTAAATGTTCAATCTACATGTGATCTTTATATAATTTACAGAAACAGATAACTCTTTAACAGTTTGTATTCAAATATATTTCAAATGCATAAATTGATATTGACATTACTAAAAACTTTAAGTATCAAAATAATTATTTTTAATTCCCCTGCGTATTGCAATCATAACTCATTTATTCCCTTTGTTTAATTGTGAAACCTATCTGGTTTTATGTCCACAAACATGTTTTGAAACTTTTAAAACCAAAAGATTTCTTTTGTGCAAGCAATTGCCATGTATTATTGATTATTAATCATATCAATTTATATATAAGAATATAGTTGTGCTTACTGTGTCATTTTGCAATAATTATATTGTTATGGTGTAATATTTTACTATTGTTAACAATCTTTAGAACTTTAGTTTATTTCAATCAAGTCAAGTGGTGTGATCATTTTGATATTTTTTTATAATTCAATCAAAACGAGAAAAATAAAAAAATATAAATACATAGAAGAAATTTGTTTTCCTTGTCAAATAACGATGATAGCATGAATTTATCTCATGCTCCTTGTATAGCATGCTCCTTGCGAAAATTCATTCCATTTCTTCTTCGAATGTACCTTATATGATGATTTTAGGGAGACATTACTGACAGCTATCGATAATCTTGGAGGACAAAAAACTCTACATAGTATTCTTTTTGGTGATCCAAACTTAGATGTTTTCCTGAATACAAAAATATTTTTGTCTGTACACAAATTTATAGAAATGACTAACAGATTCAGTAGCTAGCATATTATTGTTTCCAAACTGTTATTCATTAATATTGTTAAATCTATATACAATACTAAAATGTATAATATTAGCATATGTATGAGATGCACACTGTCTTCACTTTCCAGCACATTGTACATATCCTTCATATGAGCACTGTATATATATTGCGCACTATGTTTCCACAATGTGAAGCTTCAACTGTAAATTGTTCATTTTCATTATGCAATATTATGTATAACTGTATATAGGGAGAAGGCGGTAATAAGTGCTGCCCTTTGTCTTTTTGGACAATAAAATATGTTTAATAATATTTCATCTTTTGATCTGACAAAATTAATATTTTCAAGTCAAGATATCAACTTTAGTAAAGCACATGAAGGGATAAACATTGCATTTGACAAAATAAATTCAAGTCTTATATTTTCTTTGTGATCTTCATGACCTTACTCAGAAAACCATAGTGTCAATGAGGCAGACTGACTATAGGTGTGACAAAACGTGATATTTCACCTGATTTTCACTTCAGCGAAAGTATGTTTTCAACATGGTCAGACTAAACAAAGTATTTCATGATTAAATACATACCGGTAATACAAATATCAAAACGTGTTTCATTAAAACAATAGTGAATTTCTGTGTGACATTGATATAAAGAGCTGTAGTACACTGTCATTCAATTGATGCATCTGTTGTGTTTACTGTTTACAAAGAATATACTGTTTGTGTTTTCGATATATCAGATGAATTGATTCTTTCAAGATTGTTCTTAAGTAGCATATAATGTTACACACTGTGATTAATTTTCCTTAAACTTCTCTATTTCAGAAGAATGTTGTTTTCTAAATAAGCAATATTTTGAGAGAAGGTGAATATGCATTGTTTATAAAAAATGTTATTGAAGTAGGAATATTATTACAATATTATTGAATTATTCATTTCAGGCCAGCGAGTCAACACAATGAAGTACTAGTATCCGGTGACGGATGTCAGGTGGAGCTTTCTGCTGACAGTAACACAATGGTTACAATGTGCGTCCTGTCAAAGGACGAGAAAAGCCATAATCATTTAATCAACAAATGTGCTTCCTGTCATATTTCTCTTAAATAGGACGAGGAAGTGAAAAGACTTATTCACTCACAAATCAACATGGCCAACATTTATCGGACACTGAAAAAGCACATTGTACCATTTGTTTTCTCCTGGAATTTAATAAGGTGCTTTTGACTGACAAAGACACCCAGTCCATGTTAAGTTTTGAAAACTTATATTGTGAGAAATAAAGATATGAAAATTTTGGTTTGTTTTTCTTTGTTAAATATGAGAAATCCAGATTATCCATCAACATAATTTGTACCGATACATATATTTTATCTTGGCTTGATTACCAACTTAAGTTTGATTCCTTTTTATCTTTTGTTATTTTATCTGGACTCATATCTGATCAAGACATTTTCAAACTATTCAGGATAAATGTATTAGTAGCTTCCTTTTGATATACAATTACCCCTATCATCATACAGGATAAGGTGAGGGTGTTCAAGAAGTTGGTAGTTGTATCAATTCTTATATTTCTTCAATTTCATACATTATTTATATTTATCAATTTTTAGTTTCCTTTTAACTTATTTTAAACAGTTCACACATTATTACTTTTGTCGTGCATGGTGCAATCTCAATCGGCAATAATCAGTTAAGTAAGTGATGTTTGAAAGTATCATCTGTCATTGTACACACTGAATAGAGTTATCGCCCCTTCTGAAAATTTATTTTGACACACAAATTATTTTCATAATTAACATTGTAATATGTTAAAATGAAAATCTTAGCAGGAAAAGTGTCTTTTGTCAACTGGACTCATAGCAAAAAGATAGTGCGTTGTGCAGCAAACACCACTATGAAACGTGAAATAAACATGATCTCAATCTTGAACTAGAGTTTGCCAAGCCACGCATTGACTGAGCAATTTTGCAAAAGTACACTGACGTGTTTCATGTTATGCGGTTTATTTACGATACAAAACTTCTGTCATTGAATGTACTGTCACATTGTACCTATATGCTGACGAGGTTATGATAAAATAATCTAATTCTGAAATACGTATCTCGAAATGCACCTTTCGATTCACTTCCGGGATCCTGTCAACAAAATGCTAATTCCAGTGTATTACAGGCATATTTTAGTTGGACCTCATGATTTAATGTGAATTATCTTCTGTATAAGATACAGAGGATACCATTTTTTGTTTGTTTAAAATGTCCATCAGTGAAATGCACAACATGCTGTCTGTTCCCTATGAGCTGATGCGACTCTCACTGCATGGAGCTATGCTCTCCAAGCCTCGTTTTCGATCCAAGATGGCGAAAGTGGGAAAAAGGTCAATAGTGGCCCACTGAGATACCATGGCGCACTTTAACATTAAGCGCCAGGCAGGGTAACAACAAATACCATTTTTTAGCGTCTTGTGACATAGCGTGGGCTGGGGCCGACCTTCCACTCACCGGGCAGATGCTCTATCCGATGGACCACAGAGGCCGTCCATTTTACTCACCTCTATGGTTTGCTTTATGTTTGCTTTCTATCTTACTTTATCACTATTCTTGCATTTGTCTGTTTGCTTTATGTTTGCTTTCTATCTTACTATATCACTATTCCTGCATTTGTCTGTTTGCTTTATGTTTGCTTTCTATCTTACTATATCACTATTCTTGCATTTGTCTGTTTGCTTTATGTTTGCTTTCTATCTTACTATATCACTATTCCTGCATTTGTCTGTTTGCTTTATGTTTGCTTTCTATCTTACTATATCACTATTCTTGCATTTGTCTGTTTGCTTGATGTTTGCTTTATGTTTGCTTTCTATCTTACTATATCACTATTCCTGCATTTGTCTGTTTGCTTTATGTTTGCTTTCTATCTTACTATATCACTATTCCTGCATTTGTCTGTTTGCTTTATGTTTGCTTTCTATCTTACTATATCACTATTCTTGCATTTGTCTGTTTGCTTTATGTTTGCTTTCTATCTTACTATATCACTATTCTTGCATTTGTCTGTTTGCTTTATGTTTGCTTTCTATCTAACTATATCACTATTCTTGCATTTTTCTGTTTGCTTTATGTTTGCTTTCTATCTTACTATATCACTATTCCTGCATTTGTCTGTTTGCTTTATGTTTGCTTTCCATCTTACTATATCACTATTCCTGCATTTGTCTGTTTGCTTTATGTTTGCTTTCTATCTTACTATATCACTATTCTTGCATTTGTCTGTTTGCTTTATGTTTGCTTTCTATCTTACTATATCACTATTCCTGCATTTGTCTGTTTGCTTTATGTTGGCTTTCAATCTTACTATATCACTATTCTTGCATTTGTCTGTTTGCTTGATGTTTGCTTTCTATCTTACTATATCACTATACTTGCATTTGTCTGTTTGCTTTATGTTTGCTTTCTATCTTACTTTATCACTATTCCTGCATTTGTCTGTTTGCTTTATGTTTGCTTTCTATCTTACTATATCACTATTCCTGCATTTGTCTGTTTGCTTTATGTTTGCTTTCTATCTTACTATATCACTATTCTTGCATTTGTCTGTTTGCTTTATGTTTGCTTTATGTTTGCTTTCTATCTTACTCTATCACTATTCCTGCATTTGTCTGTTTGCTTTATGTTTGCTTTCTATCTTACTATATCACTATTCTTGCATTTGTCTGTTTGCTTTATGTTTGCTTTCTATCTTACTATATCAATATTCTTGCATTTGTCTGTTTGCTTTATGTTTGCTTTCTATCTTACTATATCACTATTCCTGCATTTGTCTGTTGGCTTTATGTTTGCTTTCTATCTTACTATATCACTATTCTTGCATTTGTCTGTTTGCTTTATGTTTGCTTTATGTTTGCTTTCTATCTTACTATATCACTATTCTTGCATTTGTCTGTTTGCTTTATGTTTGCTTTCTATCTTACTATATCACTATTCTTGCATTTGTCTGTTGGCTTTATGTTTGCTTTCTATCTTACTATATCACTATTCCTGCATTTGTCTGTTTGCTTTATGTTTGCTTTCTATCTTACTATATCACTATTCTTGCATTTGTCTGTTTGCTTGATGTTTGCTTTCTATCTTACTATATCACTATACTTGCATTTGTCTGTTTGCTTTATGTTTGCTTTCTATCTTACTTTATCACTATTCCTGCATTTGTCTGTTTGCTTTATGTTTGCTTTCTATCTTACTATATCACTATTCCTGCATTTGTCTGTTTGCTTTATGTTTGCTTTCTATCTTACTATATCACTATTCTTGCATTTGTCTGTTTGCTTTATGTTTGCTTTATGTTTGCTTTCTATCTTACTCTATCACTATTCCTGCATTTGTCTGTTTGCTTTATGTTTGCTTTCTATCTTACTATATCACTATTCTTGCATTTGTCTGTTTGCTTTATGTTTGCTTTCTATCTTACTATATCAATATTCTTGCATTTGTCTGTTTGCTTTATGTTTGCTTTCTATCTTACTATATCACTATTCCTGCATTTGTCTGTTGGCTTTATGTTTGCTTTCTATCTTACTATATCACTATTCTTGCATTTGTCTGTTTGCTTTATGTTTGCTTTATGTTTGCTTTCTATCTTACTCTATCACTATTCCTGCATTTGTCTGTTTGCTTTATGTTTGCTTTCTATCTTACTATATCACTATTCCTGCATTTGTCTGTTTGCTTTATGTTTGCTTTCTATCTTACTATATCACTATTCTTGCATTTGTCTGTTTGCTTTATGTTTGCTTTATGTTTGCTTTCTATCTTACTCTATCACTATTCCTGCATTTGTCTGTTTGCTTTATGTTTGCTTTCTATCTTACTATATCACTATTCTTGCATTTGTCTGTTTGCTTTATGTTTGCTTTCTATCTTACTATATCAATATTCTTGCATTTGTCTGTTTGCTTTATGTTTGCTTTCTATCTTACTATATCACTATTCCTGCATTTGTCTGTTGGCTTTATGTTTGCTTTCTATCTTACTATATCACTATTCTTGCATTTGTCTGTTTGCTTTATGTTTGCTTTATGTTTGCTTTCTATCTTACTATATCACTATTCTTGCATTTGTCTGTTGGCTTTATGTTTGCTTTCTATCTTACTATATCACTATTCCTGCATTTGTCTGTTTGCTTTATGTTTGCTTTCTATCTTACTATATCACTATTCTTGCATTTGTCTGTTTGCTTTATGTTTGCTTTCTATCTTACTATATCACTATTCCTGCATTTGTCTGTTTGCTTTATGTTTGCTTTCTATCTTACTATATCACTATTCTTGCATTTGTCTGTTTGCTTGATGTTTGCTTTATGTTTGCTTTCTATCTTACTATATCACTATTCCTGCATTTGTCTGTTTGCTTTATGTTTGCTTTCTATCTTACTATATCACTATTCCTGCATTTGTCTGTTTGCTTTATGTTTGCTTTCAATCTTACTATATCACTATTCCTGCATTTGTCTGTTTGCTTTATGTTTGCTTTCCATCTTACTATATCACTATTCTTGCATTTGTCTGTTTGCTTTATGTTTGCTTTCTATCTTACTATATCACTATACTTGCATTTGTCTGTTTGCTTTATAATTGCTTTCTATCTTACTTTATCACTATTCCTGCATTTGTCTGTTTGCTTTATGTTTGCTTTCTATCTTACTATATCACTAGTCCTGCATTTGTCTGTTTGCTTTATGTTTGCTTTCTATCTTACTATATCACTATGTCCCCCGCCGTGATATTGCTGGAATATTGCTAAAAGCGGCGTAAAACCATACTCACTCACTCACTACTATATCACTATTCTTGCATTTGTCTGTTTGCTTTATGTTTGCTTTATGTTTGCTTTCTATCTTACTCTATCACTATTCCTGCATTTGTCTGTTTGCTTTATGTTTGCTTTCTATCTTACTATATCACTATTCTTGCATTTGTCTGTTTGCTTTATGTTTGCTTTCTATCTTACTATATCAATATTCTTGCATTTGTCTGACAGACAGGTATCTAGTCCCATTGGAAGCTACTTTCTATCTTACTATATCACTATTCCTGCATTTGTCTGACAGACAGGTATCTAGTCCCATGGGAAGCTACAAAGTGTAACAAAATAAGAAACATATTTTATGCGAGCTCGCCATGGAAAATAAAAATACTTGTCATGTTGTACTTAAGCGTGCTGATATTTTGAATTTCATAAATTTACAAATATTATAAGGATTTTTTAACAACGCCTGCTGTTAACGTTTACTGTTTCGTACAGGAATTGTTACATTTCATCTCGTGACAGAAATGACATCCCCCTATGGACATAAAATGTATATACCTTCCACTTGCTGCCTGGCACCACACGAGGTATAAAGAAGTTGTCAAAGACGTGGGAGAATGGGCCGTGTCCTTAAAGAACAAAAGCGTACATCTAGTGCACATATTCGTGTCGTGTCAGTATCTTTCTGTCTATAGAAATGTTTATTTAACTTTCTTTCCCCTTTGAAATAGCCTGTATCGAGATCAAAATGTATTGTGATTTTGAAAAAAAGTCCACTAATTACCAAGATCGTGGCACAGTCCTGCTATTTCAATGCACTTGATTTCATCGTCCTCCAGTTCCGGATATTCCTGTTGCAGAATCCGAGCAAATGTTCCAGCCAGATAGTAGGTTCTGTTGTAACAAACACAGTTTACATCTGTACCGCGCATTAAGAATTACAGAAAAAAAAAATACAACTTATAACAAGCTATGTTTGACAAGTTATTCATGTCCTCAGAATATGCTCAAGGAAGGGTTTTATGGGCACTATTTTTGACATCGCCATTGTGATATAACTTACCCGATGCTGTGCTCAAACCTGTTGTGTGCTGCGCCCGGATATACAAAGTAATCTCCTCCAAGTTGCTTCAAATACCTCAACCTCTGAAACTGCGGGGTGTCTATTATCTTCACACACAAACCCGTCACCGTTATAGTTCCGTGAACAGGATCCTTGAAGATCTAAGAATAAAATAAGGTTGAATCAGGTGCTTCCTTGGGTTTAACAATATATTGTATATGTCCTTAAAAACACGAGAAACTGAGTTCAGCGAAACCTTGTGGCCTTATGTGACAGGACAATGCCTTTGTACAACGGCAACATGTGACTATCGAGCTCCAAAATTTCATATTTGTATCTGTGCTATTAAATATATCAAGTCGATAGTACGATTGAGGTACTCTGCCTGAGGTAACAATGCCTACCTTTGAACTGGAATCTTGTCTGCAGAAAGAAAACATTCACATATGTATGATATATATCCATGCATTTACTGACGAAGAAGGCGGCACGGGTGGCCCAGTTGTCTAAGGCGCCGCGATTCGCTGTGCAGAGTTGCGTCCCTTAGGCACGCCAGAAACCTATGATTGTGGGTTCGAATCCCGGTTCACCCCGATTATGTTTCTAGGTTTGTCAGCACCATACCCGTGCTCGTGGGTTTCACCGAAGTGGTAAACGTCTGAGACCTGCACCACTTCGGGCTTTCCTCCCACATTAAGCTGACACGCCGCGATATAACTGGAATACTGTTAAAAGCGGCGTTAAACCCAACTCACTCACTCACTACTGACGAAGAGAATTTATGGATGTCAACTTCTTTATTATTAGGAAAACAACATTTCGGAGTATATGCTTACTCCAACAACAATAACTGGCAACAAAGAAAACTACAAGAAGCCATTGGCATCAGGAGACACCAGCCAGCCATGAACTGTGAGTAGGGAAACTATCTGCCTCGTGCTGGGGGCTTATTGCTTTGGTCTTTCTTTGTCTGTGCTTATTATCTAGCTGGCATCCATTTGCCCATATCGCTTTCTATTCGTTTACCTATAAGTGCCAATTACCCCCGGCCTCACGTTTGCCCATTGCCAATTACTAATCAGTGATAATTTAAGTCCTGGCTTCCATCAGCGCTAATTACTATAAAGTGTTGACTTCCATTGTCTATTGTTAATCACCTATAAGCGCCAATTATCTGTTGGCTTCCCTTGTTAAAGGTGCACTGATCTAACGCAATTCCCCGGACTGGTTGTTGCCTTTGTTATTGTTTTTTCCCCCGTGAGTACCCGGATGATACGCAACGCAACTGAGCGTGACCAGAGACTGGGCTACCGTCTGCAAGGACAGCTAAATAAACTTGGAGGCTGGAGGCAATATTTGTTTTAAGCATTTTTGCATAAACACTGATTGGTTAACTGTGATCTATGAAGATTTCGACAAAGGGCACAGGTTAATTAATTTCTTCAGCATAAACAAGCAGACAAAAAGAACGGCGAAGCTCATCGGATGTCGTCATTTGGAAATACCCCAGATGGTTATAGTTTTATACTAAAAAAAGTATCCATGCAGTGAAAGCATTTTCGGATTTCGGCTTGCGTCGATAATACGATTACTACTCCCTTGTTGACATCCACGTTTTCTCGTATAACCCTTCACTTGTGTATGTGTCGTCATTCACTTGATGCTCAGTTAATGAATTTATTACAGGTACAATTAGTGGTAGCACCACTTAGATAACCTGACAAAGGTTCCCATTTGGCATTTATTGTGTCTGGGGTAATTATTCAATCTAAATCCAGGGTTGAAGTGAGGTGAAATGTGTGTTATGTAATATGCACGTGGCAGCCCAGCAAGAGATGAATGATCAGTTGATTTATTTTTTTGTAAATCAACGGAACGTTCCTAGTCATCAAAGGATTAACAGAAAATACGTTGATTGATTAATCACTGTTATCTTGCACAGTGGATATGTCAAGAGTGAGTGTTTACATGTCTAGGTTTACTAAAACAAAGGGAATACACTCATATCATGGCGCGAAGTGCCGATGTCAAAACAACATACTTTGTTCAAAGGGTTAACTTATAATTGTTATCTATCACTCAATGGATTTTTTAGGAACCGTGAACGTTATGAAAATAGTTGTCACGTGGGCTTTCTCAGCCGACCATTGAGACTTGACACCTATATAAAACACCTGAAACAATCCAAGTGATCAGTTGAGAAACGAACACGGGTTATAATATCCCGAAACGATATATATCTTTAAAATTATTTGATTGTCACTGAGACACGTGACATCGAATAAGTTTCTTTGTACATCTGCAGACGAGTGGGATATTGTTCCTTTGTGTGGATATTCACGGATAGATTCCTCGAACAAGGAAGCTGCCTAAAATTTATACACATAAATTTGGTAGGTTGTAATTATGATATTTGCATTTTGTTTTCCTTCATTTGAACCGATTCGTTCTTGTTTCTCTATGTCTTGGTTGGGAAATTCTTCAATGCGCGATAGACGTTGTTTTCACAGGTCTTTTCCTTTGTAAGCGTGTATATATTACCGTCAATTTGTAAAATGTGATTCTCTCAGGCAATTTATAAAATGTGTAAATATTTCAGTCATTTTGACTAAAAAATCTGTCCAGATTGATTAAGACGACCAAAAGGGCCTACAAACATCACAACAGATTATAATGTATGATTAGAAGCCAAACAACATAGAAATGTACTTTTCTCAACGTAACATTTTCAGTCTCTTGGTGATGACATTAAACATCAAAATGTTTGGAATTCGTTATCATAATAATACAGATGGAAATGTTTTCAGTCGCTTTGTAAAATAACTGAATATTTAGACGTTTAATAAATTTGTTACACATTTGACAGTAAAAGAAAATACACACTATAAAAAAAGCAATGCTCAGGTGAAATATTTACTTTGTGTTGCAAGTCAAAATAGTGTAAACGAAAATCGCAAAATTACCAAGCAAGTGACCATTCGTCACCATTACCGATGCTACCCACAAAGATACCTACATTTCCTTATTATCTCGAAATCTGTATTTCATTTTGTTGTTCATTTTATTACTACCCATAAAAGCGACTAATGCGCTTACGAATGGCGCAGCAGAGGTCGCGAACTAGTCTAGATTTCTGCTATACATCCGGGTACTCACTGGGAAAAAACAATAACAAAGGCAACAACCAGTCCCGGGGAATTGCGTTAGATCAGTGCCCCTTTAAATTCCCACATTTTCTTACCTTATTACTTTTGTTGTCCTTACATGTACAATATATATATATATTACAATATATTACATATATATATTTGCCTATTTATATAATAGTTTCCCTAGTCACATCAATGGTATATATATATATTCATCAGGTGAATGAATGCTATGAGGCAGAGAGTATATATATATATATATATATATATATACTCTCTGCCTCATAGCATTCATTCACCTGATGAAGGAGTGAGCATATGATCACAAACGTTGTGTTCCTAATGATAAAGGAGTTGACATCCATAAATTCTCTTCCTTATGTGTATCACTTCTAAATGCCTATCAAAAACTCGTGCATTTACTATTACTTACTCATTTAATCCCCAATACATGACGGTACGACTTCGAATGAAAATTTATAAGGTGTCTTCGTACGTACTTTGACAGTATTCAACAGATAAGTGTCACAGAAAATGAATGCATAATGTTTGTACAAAAGCGCTATGCATTATTGTAAAGAAGGCACTTTGGTTAAATGTTACATTGAACTAAACACATTAGCAAAGACATGCATGAAATACTCACACTGGGCCACTTGAGGTACCTGAAAGTAATAATAGCAAAATATATCGATTCCTCTAAGTAGATGTAATCAAATGTCGTTCCTATCACACAGACGTTTATTTTATCAACATCAAACTTGAAAGCTCTTGATCTTAACTGAAATGACAATTATATATTTTGCAAGACGACGACAGTTTTAGCCTTGTAGCCTTCACCATGTCTATGAGTCAACTGAAATTACAGACTTACACGGACAGATCAATCTTACTGCAGAAGTATTTTCCCACAGAGAGAGTGAACATTATATAGCAGTATTCTAGCTACATCACAGCAATGTGTAAACAATCGTGTTCGCACAAGACAAACCATTGATCAATAGCAGAAGCAACGACCCATGCCGGAGGAACTGGGTGGCTCCCAAGAGAGCATGTGGTAGAGGGAGATTATTCTGAACTTGTACCATTCATGGTCAAAACAAAAAAAAGAACTTATCTCAGGTTGACATTACCTGTCAAATTATTTACAAAATAAAGTGACAAAATCCTTTCCAAGATCACACGAAATAATACGATTCACAATCCATTGTACGATTTTGACTATATCCTATGCATGAACCAGGTGTTCGCGAAAAGGTGAGTGTCTCCTGCCACACCGGTGGTGCCTGTCACAAGGACATGGAACAAGCAAGAGAAATACATTTTTGACAGCTTTTCTAAGGCCTTGAAGGCCTTGAATGTTGCAACTTTAAGAAAGCACATACATTCGGTTATTCTGATTTTAAGGGAACAATGTTGTAATAGTTCACATTCAAACTTAGAACTTTTGGTTCAGTTTAAATATACGACTTACCAGACTGAACAACATTCTTGAGCCGACTTTGCTTTGTGGAGGAAGCCTCTGGGTCACCTCCTTCTACAATTCCCGCCTTCCGTTTATCTCCTGCCTCAGGTTGATTCTCAGACATGTTTGCAAATATCTGAAATGACATTGCAACAATGTACAGATGGTATGGTACTTTGTATTGTGAACATTTATTCTGTATATTGTATTATGTTTAGTGTGTGATAAAAGGTGGTTTGGGGACATTCTGGTTGGTATAGTGTACATTTTATTATGAACAATGTAAACTGTACTGTTACAAGGTTAATCTAAAATCGGTTTGCACAGTACAAAGTTGTGAAATCAGAAAATGAGCCACAATGTTCCTGATTAATCATTACATTTTATTTAAACACACGGTTTTAAGTTTACAGTCAAATGGGCAATACAAGACAAGAAGTTTATTGTATGAAAGGCCTCCGGCCTATATACAACCACATACAATGTATACATACTTTCAACATATGTGCATTCTAGGAGCTAGACATTTGTATTTACAAGTTCTTGACGAATATTGAGTGCTTGGTGGTGAAATTGAGCTAGGCTGTAGATTACATCAGAAGATTGATTAGACATAAGTGATAAAAGGGATGTGGTACATTGCTGTTTAAGGTATTTAGCGGGTATAAAACGTTTTCGGATATCTTGGTAAAACTCACAGATAAAAAGTACATGAAATTCGTCCTCAACACCCATATCACATAATGGACACAAACGCATAGATTTTAACGTATTTTGTCTTCTTCCGGTATTTACTCTAATATCACTCAGTCCCATACGAAAACGCGTGAATGTTGAACGTAGATTTAAATTACAAAGAACACTTAAATATTTTTCAGGCTCCAGTAAGGATTTGAATGATCTATACACATCATATCTGCTACTTGCATTTAAATTAGACATCCATGTTTGATAAAAGGTATTTACAATTCTTTCTTTGAACATATTTACAAACATACAGGTGTTACCAACTCCTTGATAAATCCAAGCATAGCCAAAGCCATTTGAGAACAAAAGTACCCGAATATTTGATGCCCAAGTCTTGTAACCCAGATTATCATAGTTGTATAACATATTGTAAGCTTTCCTTGGCAGTCGCTGTTTGTGCATAGTAAGTATTTTTAGCCAATATCTGATACAACGAATATATGAATTAATGTACAAAGGATATCTACAGCACTCTCCGTAAACAATATTATTAGGGGAGTTGACTCCAATCATTAAAAACAATTTACAAGCAAGAAGATGTACTTTTTCGATTGTATTAAAATGTTTAAAACCCCATAATTCAGAGCCATACAAAAGTATTGGTTGTATCTGTGTGTCAAACAATTTAAAGAATATACTTGGGGATAAAGGCTGGAGTTTAGATAGAGTTGACAATAACATGACCATGGCTTTTTTACCCCTTACAGATAAATCCTGAACAAGACTACCCATACTTAAAGTGTTGGTAAACAAAACACCTAGGTATTTATACTTACTAACAACTTTAACCCTCGAACCCTTATATAACCATTTTTCGACAGAAGCTAAAGTTTACAGTTAACTTCAAATCATCAGTGTAATCAGTCAAAATGTTTAATTGGTTCTGAAGACCTGAGACTGAGTGTGATATAAGAATAACATCATCATCAAACAATAAAAAGAACAATTCTAAAATATCCGGACATAATTGGACCCCGTGTTTACCATTATTCATTATTTCTATACACAATTCGTTAATGAAGAATGAAAATAGAATGGGACTTTATACGCATCCTTGTTTCAAGCCAAGCGGACAATCAAAAAAGTCAGTGAAATCACCTTTACAATGCACACACGCCCTGACATTAGAGTACATACTTTTAAGAATCAGGTACATTTTGCCACGTAATCCAGCTCTTCTAAGGCACACCCACAGTTTATTACGATTCACAGAATCAAAAGCCTTCCGGAAATCAGCAAAAGCTACATAGAGTTTTCTCCCACGTTTCATCAAATAATTTTCTATAATTGCATTTAATGTAAAAATTTGATCTGAAGTTGAATAGTGTTTTCTAAACCCAGCCTGATATTCTGGAATTCTATCCCTCATATTGGCCCATAAAGTTAGTCTGTTGTTTAATATACTCGTAAATACTTTCCCCAAAATACTGTTTAATGTTATACCTCTATAATTATCTGCATTGCTAGCATCTCCTTTCTTATTAATAGGTATAACAATGCCCTTCGACCACGAACTTGGAAATACGCCTGAACGAAAAATCATATTAAACAATTCTGTAAGATAGGGCAAAATTATCTCCCTTGATGATTGCAACATTTCAGCAACAATATTATCACATCTCGGGGATTTACGTTTTTTAAGTGACTGAATTGCTGTCAGTATCTCATGACGTTGAATATCAGATTCAAGGATTTCCCGATCTATTTCAGAAAAGAAATCATCTTCATTTATAGGACCATATATGTCATCAAAAAACGTATGATCAAATACGTCATTTGTTGAAAATGCTTCTTTAAAATGAATTGCCCATTCAGCTTTTGAAATGCTACAAGCAGGGATGTTTCTCATGTTAATGGATCGAACCTCTTTCCAAAGTTTCTTAGCATTACCCATTGCATTACATAGCTGTCCAATTCTATTGTGTCGTATCTTATTCTTATATAACCTGATTTCGTACTGATATCGATTTCTTAAGGAACAGTAACTCTTTCTGTTATCAGCAGACTTGTTACTTCTAAATTTCCGTAGTGCTCGCCTCGTAGCACGTTTTGCCTGCATACATTCAATGCTATAACGTCTGTTAATCATGTAGCCATTCTTAGAGCATAAGGCTTTCTTCCTGCAGCTGGCGGAATTCAGTAAATAGTCTACGAAGCTTGACAAAGACCTATCTATATCGACATGTAGAAATTCTATTAATTCAGTCAGATTAAGACAGCTCTTAAGATTATCCAAGTAACGAGATTCGTGAAAATCATTTCAAACATATTTTACCAGAGGCTGGTCACTACACTGGTCAAGACTGTTACTTGTTGATTTCATGTGACAAGATAATTCAAGAGAAAAATGGTCAGAGAGGGGTTTTCCCCAATACATAATGAGGAAATATGATGGAAGAAATCAACTGAACAAATGAAATAATCATTAACGCAACTTTCCTGGTGGCTTACAAATGTAAATTCTCCGTGCAAATCCCCATTCACACGGCCATTAACTATGCACAGATTGAAAACATTGCAAACGTTCAATAAAAGTTGACCAAATCTATTTACAACCGAGTCTACTGACGTCCTATCTGAAATAGGGACACTTTCCTCTGGAAAGGGATCACCTCTATTATTAATACTATCTGAATCAGTCACTGAAGTTATTTTTGTTTCCACATCCGGAATTGAGGTCACCACACAGAAGAACATGACAATTAGCAATATCTGATACATGATCTATAAGAACAGACTCTAACTGATCAAGACCTTATGTCGGTAGTATGTTGACCCTTCAGGTGGTATATAAGCACAAATCAATAAAATATCACATGTGCTGTCCAGTATACTTCGTGAGAGTCTAAAACATAACAAGTTGTCAACATTAACAGCTATTGGATGACTTGGTCTTAGAAGTTCATGTTTTATACCGACACATACCCCGCCACAAGAACGTCCGGAGCTGGATAAACTAATTGCACTTGAATAAAATAAGCTATACCCTGTGATCCAAAGTTCAGGTATTCTATCGACAACAAAAGTTTCAGTGAGACAGAATATATCAAAGGTCCGTAGATATGATAGGAAATCCTCATCAGAGTACTTGCTATAAAGACCGGTTACATTCCACGATAATATGCGGAACAAAGATAATACCGCATCGTCGTCACTGCATGGATTCACAGAAGCGTCCGCACAATCACCGGTGTAGTTGCTATTTGATCCATATGAAATTTGGCCTTGGCCCCCATCCTATCTGTCACCTCTCTCACTTGATAGGGTTCTCACACCGCGTTGTTGGAGACGACGTACAGATCTGTTTCTTGCTGGTGTTGTGGGGACATCCTGACGGGCAACGGAAGGACGCGTATCAGGAACCGTCACGAGTTTCTTGTAATATCCACGGACACCAGTTCCCTCCAGTTCTTTGAGTCGTCTGCGTTGTCTCATCATCAGGACGCTTGCGATATTGAATCCTGCTTCTTTAAATGATGGTCTTGCTTTCAATGTGTAGACTTTATCAATGGATTCCTGGAATTTCGCGATAAGAGGTCTGGGTCTAGTAGAGTCTTGACGTTTAGTCCCAAGTCTGTGTGCGCGGTATCACACTTTTGCCACGTCTTTGTTTTCACATGTTCATTCAAGAAAGAGATAATAATATCTTCCGATTTTCCAGACATTTCATTTTCAACCTCTGGAATGCCGTGAAAGATCACATTGTCAAGTCTACTGTATGCTTCTAGTTTGTCAAGTTCCTCCTCAACATCACTGTACCTGTTCTGAATAATGTCTTGTTATTCTGTCAAAGCATCAATATCGTCATACATTACGCCACTATTCTTCTTAAGTAGGTCAACATCTGTCTCTGTCGCAGTTACCCGACCTTCTAGATGCAAATATTTGTCGCTGAGTGTTCTAATTTCAGATTTCAGTTCTGCCATTTCATTACTTACTTCAGTTTTCACATGACGGAGTTCGGACAGGATGGAGTCACGTACCTGGTCGAGTGTTGTCGGCCCCGGGTTCATCTCGAAGTCGCCTGAACAATTGAGCATACTGGTCACAACTTCCGCCGGCGGATGACTACTTCCCAGTGTGAATGCATCAAATGCACGGACTTGTTGGGTGGAGCGTGATGTTACAATGCACTCAAATCTGGTTACGTCATCATCACAACAGGCTTCGCAAAATAAATTCTCTGCACTGAATAATCTTGAAAATTCAAACTTTTCTTGCAGAATTTGCATAAGAGCAAACGCAGAGAGTAAGTGTGTTGTAAATAAGTATAAACATACAAAAACTCTCAGGTTTGTATCAGATCCATGGACACACTTTGTGTACCTGTCGTGAGCGAGTTCAACTTGGCGTGTCCCTCGAGGTTGCATAAAGGTGCCGATCCGAGCTCTGTACAAAGCGATCGAGATCATAGTAATGTTGGATGGTATAAGAGTCACCTTCAGATGCAGTTAGACGAGATCAAGGCTTGTAGATGCGGAGTTATTACACAAAATACTTCACTCGATCATCGGAGCTCTGACGAGAGCGTCCATACTCGCCAAGGGCAGATAACTCACTCCCAATACAATGGGCCAAATCAGCACCAGGAAGAATAAGTAAGAGGCCCTAGAATTAATGTAAATTAACTCACAAATGTTAAGAGTTGAAGCAGAAGAAAATAGTCACTTATGATTAGACCTTTTTGGTTTCGAGTGTTCTGATTGACCAATGTCAATCACCTAGGGGACGACATCCCGCTAAAAATGGCCCCCCTAGTGACAGATGTATATCTAAAACAGTATTGCAGTACATGGAAAAAAAGCCGAGCTAGAAATAACACCACTGGTGCAGCCATCTGAAGGACAATAGCCCAGGGTCTAATAAAATTAGAGCTTTATCTTGAGTTCACTCTGGCTGAAGAATGGAAAGAGGTATGTACACAATATTTCAAGCAATACGGATAAAAACCCGCACAATAAACAGTAGTCCTTTCTCTACTTTCTTGTTAGGCTTTTGTGGACACAGGGTTAGCACAGGGTTACACTGATTGTGTACAAATAAATCAGTCAACCGACTGGGCTTGTGTCGAGCTGAATAATTTGTTTTGAAAGCAAATTTTAAAGCAAACTGACAGTACAAATTAAAAATGCAGGGTAGACAGATTATGACCCATTTGCAGATAATAAACAAGCCTGCTGATAGCATGTGGCGAGTGGAAAAGGAAAAAGAGCTGGCTAGAAGGAAGTCTTTGTGAAATGGATGGGTTACGCTGAAAAGTGCAACAGGTGGATCCAAGAGATCCATTTTGAAAATGTAGGAAAATTCTAATAACAGATCCATATGTCCTGAATGCAAGAAGACTTTCTCAAATAAAGATGTTATGTTATGGCACAGAAGAAAAACAAGCCCCTCAGCCGCTACCATCGCAAGTCCTGCCATCGTTGCGGCTTATGTTAAAAATAATCTACACGCTAAAATCTAAATTTCCCCGAGCTTGAGGCGATATGTATACAGGTTAAACGGAAAACTCAAAATTACTTAATTGGTACATTTTATCATGCTGATAAACGTGTCCATTATTGGAATTTAATTGATGAGTCAATAGGCAATGCTATTGATCTTAATATGTTTACTATTGTTACTGGCGACTTCAATTTAGATATTCTATGCGAAACCACTCAAAAGATTGAACATTAAGGAACTATGTACAGTTTAAAACAAATAATTACAGATTCTACAAGAATAATCCCTAATTCTAACACTTTGATTGATTTAGTATTTATAATATGTGTAAACAAGGTAAGGTCTTCTGGTGTACTTGATCAAATCTGTAGCGATCACTGCCCCATCTTTGTTAATATAAAAGAAACTATACCCAAACATTACACCTTTAAGAGATAAATATATAATTATCCCTTTGGCAGATGCAGATGGTATAAATCAAGGTATTAATGGGATTGACTCGGATAGCCTATTCTCATCTGATAATATTAACATTGACACTTAAGATCTGACTTGTAGACTTAAAGACATATTCGATAAATACATTCCAACTAAGACTGTCACAATACGACCAAAGGATCCTCTAAGGATAAATAACGACATACGCTCTCTTATTAGGAAACGTAATCGTATTCACAAAATTGCTAAAAAGAAATCGACCTCCAGATTGGGTAAGATGTAGGTCATGCAGGAGTGATATCATCAGTCAGCATGGCCAAAAGAGCTCATGAATTAAAAAATAGATCTGGTGGCGATTAGTTAAAAATATGTCAAAACGCACACCGAAAATTCGTCGTTTCCACCAATAGTATCAAATAATGTTTTATATGATGATATGGAAGATATAACCAATGTCCTCAATGAATGTTTCACTGATCAAGCAAGGGTAAGAAACCCCGATTCTGACCTTCCATCTATTGGACCATATACAATCGACGATCCATTACTATCTGTGAATTTAAATCTAGAAGAAGTTTGTGATATTCTCCTTCCTGTAGATACGACAAAGGCAACAGGGCCTGATGGTATAGGTAACAAGTTACTTAAATTAACAGGGACTGTATTTAACTTGTTGCTTAAAAACAAATACATATCAACGATATCATTAGAAAAGTTAGTCCAATGATCAACTGCCTAAGGAGTTTTAAATACAGACTAACAAGAAATATGCTTGAAAGTATGTATACATCTTTTATCCGACCTAACTTCGACTACTGTTATCATATTTGGGACAACTGTACAACGAACAATCATTGTTACTCGAAATTTACATTTGGACGCATTGAGAACTATTTGAGGGGCGGTTCATGGTACCAGTCATGTCAAAATTTATAACGAAACAAATTTTCAATCTTTAAAGGAACGACGACACTGCTTCAATTTGATTACATTTTACAAAATGAAAAACGGTATTTCAGCTGTATATTTCAACGATCTCATTCCGAGTCAAGTCTCTGATAATAGCAATTATAACCTTAAAAAAAGATCTAACATACAAACAATCAAATGTAGAACCCAGACCTATAATGCCAAATCATTTCTTCCGGATACGATTAACCTGTGGAACATTCTACCCGATGAAGTAACTAATGTTCGCTCATTAAAAGAATTCAAATCCTTAATTCATTGTTCTGATACAATGATTAATAATTTTTACATGGCAGTTCAGTCAGCAGTTCTACAAACATGACTATTCTTCAATCAGTACTTGATGTCAAAAGCAAAAGATTTGAGTAGATTAATTTTATGCATAGTAATGGAAAACTGCATTATCTTATTTCGCAGACACCACTTGTTTCAGTGTATTGGTTTCATGTCTTTCCTTTGTGCATATAGTATGTTTATGTTCAGCACTGTCTTATGTATAACCAGCTCATGTCTTTCCTTTGTGCATATAGTATGTTTATGTTCAGCACTGTCTTATGTATAACCAGCTCATGTCTTTCCTTTGTGCATATAGTATGTTTATGTTCAGCACTGTCTTATGTATAACCAGCTCATGTCTTTTCTTTGTGCATATAGTATGTTAATGTTCAGCACTGTCTTATGTATAACCAGCTCATGTCTTTCCTTTGTGCATATAGTATGTTAATGTTCAGCACTGTCTTATGTATAACCAGCTCATGCCTTTCCTTTGTGCATATACTATGTTTATGTTCAGCACTGTCTTATGTATAACCAGCTCATGCCTTTCCTTTGTGCATATAGTATGTTAATGTTCAGCACTGTCTTATGTATAACCAGCTCATGTCTTTCCTTTGTGCATATAGTATGTTTATGTTCAGCACTGTCTTATGTATAACCAGCTCATGCCTTTCCTTTGTGCATATAGTATGTTTATGTTCAGCACTGTCTTATGTATAACCAGCTCATGTCTTTCCTTTGTGCATTTACTATGTTGATGTTCAGCACTGTCTTATGTATAACCAGCTCATGTCTTTCCTTTGTGCATATAGTATGTTTATGTTCAGCACTGTCTTATGTATAACCAGCTCATGTCTTTCCTTTGTGTATCTAGTATGTTAATGTTCAGCACTGTCTTATGTATAACCAGCTCATGTCTTTCCTTTGTGCATATAGTATGTTTATGTTCAGCACTGTCTTATGTATAACCAGCTGTTGTTAAGTTATTACCTGGTGAGGTATTTACATAAGAAGGTTTTGCTTGTTTACCAATCCAGATTTCTTTTGAAATAAAATATGTTGAAACCACATGAACAGTTTACATTTACTATTCCTCACAACGTTGTCAATCCTGTATCTCATATCTCAATCCTGATTATGATCTACAACGCCATGTACAAATTTGGTATCCTTAACAAAACTTACTTATCCTGACGTGACTTCTCTTTAACCTATTAACAAGAACAAGTAAACGGATTCTGTTATAGTATGGTTAATATGGGGAGATGTTTTAGCATTTCCATTTTAACAGAATCAAAGTCATATCCTTTCATGACTCAGATTAGCTTCTAGTGATTTAAATTCACATAAAACTGATTCATGTCAAATGACCTATCCTGCACTTGTGGCACCTTTTATAAAAATACCATTCATTTCTTATTTGTGTGTCCAAATTATGCCATTATTAGAAATAATATGTATTATTATACAGCATGGATATGATATAAGAAAGCTTTATATGGTAATGTTGAAATTATAAACAGGAAAACATTGAAATAAATCAATCAATACGTGCATTTATCTCAGAATCTGGTAGATTTAATTAATCAATATGGACTTCTCCTTCAGTTGGCTACTTATAATCAGATGATTACATTATTGCTCAACTGATAGTATTGCATTAGTATAGAATTAGTATTTTATTAATACTTATTTTGTAATTGAGCAGCATTTAGATAAGCCATCGGCTTGTTTGCAAATCCTGTTCATTATGAAATAAATATGTTTAAAACACATGTAGTAGAACATATTATTGCAATAGTTACGACGTGAAAAGAAGTAATCCTCAAAGTAGGATCCTTAAAATAGTATCCACAAGAGCAGGTCGTAGAATCATGTTGGTGTT